ATATCGGATCTCAGCTACTTGGACGACTCTACTTATGTAGTACACGGGTCGTTCGAGTTCGTCAATTTCCTGGGCGAGCAGAGCTCCAACTGATTTCGGCGTGGAAGTGATGTAGAGGAGTAAGGGCCTTGTCGGCTGAGGAGGAGTCATGGAGAGAGGGGAAATTAAAGCTGACTTCATTCCTTCGAATGCTTGTTGGTGCTCCTCATTCCAAATGAACCTGACGTCCTTCTTTAGTAATGAATTGAAGGGTTGTGTTATTTCGGCCATAACTGGGATAAACCGTCTCAAGTAAGATGCTCGACCAAGGAAGGTTCTCAACTCGTCTAGATTGGTTGGTCGTGGCATATTTTTGATGGCGGCGACCTTTGCTGGGTCGGGGTCTATCCCATGGCGATGAACGATGCAGCCAAGGAACTTGCCGGCAGTGACTCCGAATGCGCATTTAAGCGGGTTCATTTTGAGTCTGTATTTCTTACAGTGTTCAAAGACTCTTTGAAGGTCTCTAAGGTGACTGGTCTCCTCCTTGGATTTCACTACCAAATCATCAATGTAACATTCTAAGGATTTGTGCAGCATGTCATGAAAGATGGCTGTCATAGCTCTCTGGTATGTTGCTCCCGCGTTTTTTAATCCAAAAGGCATTACAGTATAGAAAAAGTTACCTATAGGTTGGGAGTGGGAACTGGTTATAGCCGCTGAATCCAGTATAGGCATTACGCCGTCTTTGGGGCATCCTTTGGGGCCATCTTGATCTGGTTATAGCCGCTGAAGCCATCCATGAATGAGAACATATGGTGCCCCGCCGCTGAATCAATCGAGGTATCTATGGTTGGGAGTGGGAACTCATCTTTGGGGCAAGATTTGTTTAGATCTCTGAAATCGACGCACACTCAAATTTGACCATTCTTTTTGATAACTGGGACGATACTAGAAAGCCAGGTGGGATGTTGGATGGGTTTGATAAACCCTGCTCCAAGCAGCTTCACCACTTCGTCCTTGATGTTGAGCTCCACCTCGGGCTTATAAAATCTTACTCCTTGCTTGACTGGGCGAGCCAGGGGGATGACATTCAAACGGTGCATGGTAACATCTTTGTCTAATCCTGGCATTTCTTCATATGTCCATGCGAAAACGTCCGAATATTTCCTGATCAACTCGATGAGGGGCCCCCTTTGTTTTGCTGAAAGATCTCTGCAAATGAAGATAGGACGTCTGGGTTCTCTTTCAGGGGAAATGTTGATTTCTTCTAGTTCTTGCTTTTGGGGCCGAGGGCCGTCCTGTAAACACTCTGGAGCAGGTCGGACTTCTTGCAATCCATCTTGCTTGGTTAGGAGATGAAATGGCTGCCTTGGCTAGGGGTTTAACTTTTGAGCCTTCGGCTCCATCCAAATGAGTTACCGCAGGACAATAGGATTTGTCAGAGTGTTTATCTGTTGCTGGAAAAGCCACAGCTTTTTTTCTCCTTCTGCTCTTCTTGTCTCTACTTTTTTTATTCTTTGCCATTGGCGGGCGTTGGGCCAGCGCAGACAAGGTGTAGCAACAGTGATCTTCTCCACTTAGTTCACGATGGACAATTGCTACGTCGTCTAGCTGGGGGTCGGCATTGGTAACATTTGCCAACCCCTCGCACCGTCATAAACGGTATACCACTCTGCCATCTTTTGTTTGAAACCTGGTGACTTTAGGGAGCTTTCTTGAGGGCTCTGATTTGGTGAATGTCTTTCTACGAGGTGGTGATGAACCTTCTTCAGAGAGGTCATCCCAGTCAGGTATAGGAGTTCCTCGAAGTGGCAGGGGAGGTTCATCTTCGTCGACATGATTGTAAAATACTACATCTGCCATGTGAGCTTCATCTACTCGAAAAGGCTTTTGAGAGCCAGCTATGGCTACTACCTCATTGTTGTAGATTGCTTTGACACATTGATGGTAGGTGGACGGAATCGCAGCATATCTGTGAAGCCCAGTTCTCCCTAGGAGAGCCTGATAGGTCGTCTCTGCTTCTATAATATGAAACTTAGTAGTAGAGCGAATTGGTCCCACTGCTAAGTCTAACTGGACATGACCTATGGTTTTAATTTTTTGGCTTCCAAAACCGGTGATGGAGATGGGTTGTCTGACTAAGTGCTTTTGTGGGATCCCGGCTGCCTGGAAAGTAGAATAAGGCATCACATGAGTGAAGCTCCTCCATCCATGAATCCTCTTTGAAACTCCATCCCATTGATGAATACTAGGACGTAGAGGGGACGGTTATGTAGAAATGGTACTTGTTTGTCGGCCTCAGTAAAGGTTATTGCCAAGGAGTTATCCCGAAATACTTTCCTTACTAATCCGCTTACACCCATGCACGTTTCACCATTCTGCTCCGCAAGTCTTAAAAAGGCCTTGGCGGCTTCAAAGCGTGTTGCTTCAGATAGGCCGAATTGGTCGAAGAACTACTTGAACTTTGTCGATTTCTTAAGTGCTATCACACGTCTGGTCTCAAAGTCCGGACAAGTGGGAGCTGGAAGTTCAGAGAGCTCGCACACCATTGGCTCTTCCATCTCGTCATAATGCGAAAGCATCATGACCGTCTTGCCATTATCCTTATGGCGCGGGAGAGGATCTTTCAAGACATCTTTTGTTTGGCGAGGTAGCTCCAAAGCGTCTTTAGACATCATTTTTCGAACTAGGGATCTGAGTGCCCAACATTCCGTAGTAGGATGTTTAACGGAACGATGGTATATGCAATAGTCTGCCTGCGCTTGATCCTTTTTGTTAATAGGTTACCTTGGCTCGGGGAGGTGAACTTTTCCATCTTCTACCCAGGCGTTGAGGAGTGCTTGTGCCTCGTTCACTGAGATAGGTCATGGTGGGGGAATTTGATCGAACTTTCTCCTTTTTGCCTGCGGGTCTTCTCTTCCACCAGAGGAGCCTTTGGCTGCATATACAGCGTGGTTGTGTCGGTTAGGCCTCCATGAGAAAGGTTAAGGTGCCATAGGCACCAGATTCCGCCTCTCACCCTTTCCATGCCGCTAGGAGGGGGGGCAATGGTCTTGGTGTTAGGAAAGCCCATGATTTGGCTCATGAATTGGGGCCTCGCTTCCTTCTTTTTTTGTGTTTGTGATGATGACGAGGTGGAAGCGTCTGCTAGAATGTAGGTGCATGTAGTGTTGGAGGAAGTTAGGGCGAGCGATGTCCTCAGTGTTGAAGAAGAGGATGTTAAGCGGAATGTTGTAGGGGATGTTTGGCTGAGCACTGTGGGAAACGCTCTCTTCTCCTATGTTGAGATCTGCAAAGCTCTCTATGTTCCACCCAAGTCCCAAATCTTCATTTGGGTTTTCCAATGGTGATGACATGATGGAGATGTGGTGGTCTAAATCTCTCTCTGTTGGCCTTTGCGAGAGGATGTTGATGCGGATCCTCTCGAAATGTGGGACTAACACCTGATTTGCCTGGCAGGTGGATCCCTGAAAAGTGAGGTTGATTTCTTGGTTTAGCAAAAACCAAGTATGGGACAGCGGTATTGTGTAAAGTTCTGGAATGGTTAGTGCCTTGTACCATCCTCTTATAAGAGGTGCCGGAAGAATTTCAGGGTAAAATAAGAGGATGGTACAAGGCACTAACCATTCCAGAACTTTACACATATGGATGGTACAAGGCACCAGCCGCTGATCTGCATAGTTCGAGCTCACAATGGCCTTTCCACACATGGGCTATGGATCTTATTGGCCCCATCTCTCCACCGTCAAAGGGACACATATGGATCGTAGCGGCTACAGAGACTTACACTAAGTAGGTAGAAGCCATCCCCCTGAAGAAGGCAACAGGAGCCGCTGTCTCCAATTTCATTCGAGAATTGATTATATGTCGTTTTGGTATTCCCAGAGTAATCCTGTCGGATAATGGGACCCCTTTTGTCAACCGCCAAGTGGGGAAACTCTTAGTCTCCTACGATATCACACACCATAAATCAACGCCTTACTATCCCCAGGGCAATGGACAAGCTGAAGCAACCACCAAAACACTCCTTACAATCCTTTCAAGGACTCTCAAGGATTATCAAAGGAACTGGGCACATGTGCTTCCAATGGCGCTCTGGGCATACAGAACTTCCAAAAGAAGACCAACTCAAATGACCCCATTTCCGTTGGTATATGGCACGGAAGCCGTCCTTCCAGTGGAAATTGCCATACCCTCAGCTCGCATGGCCTTCCGAAGTGGAACCAACCCGTACTCCAGACCGTCAGAGTTGGAAGTCCTTGATGAAAGAAGGGACAAGGTCCAGACTAATCTTAGAGTTTACCAGAGCCGTATAGCTAGAGCTTATGATACTCTGGTACGTCCAAGACAGTTCCAAGAAGGTGATTTAGTATTACGGGCTGCACCTCACGTCATGAGGGGAACATCAACCCACAAGTTCACACCCAAGTGGCAGGGTCCTTATGTAGTAAGGGAAGTCAATGAAAATGGGTATTACAGAATTTCCGAGCCTGACTCTCAAACCCTCCTGAGCCCTATCAATGCGAAATGGTTAAACGCTTACTATCTTTAGAAATTACTCATTGCTATATGATGCACTACACCAAGATGTATTGTGCCCATTTGGGCTTCTTCAATGAATATCGTCATTTTCCACACTTATTCTAACTATAATCACAAATAATAAAAGATGACGCTCTAACTATAAAGTCAGCTCCATTAAGTAGTTGAAGATTTTCAATTACAAAAAAGAAAGGGAGGCCCAAATCTCTAACATACAAAAAAGTTTTAGGCTATAAAGCTATCATATGCTACAAAGCTATGATCCAACTAAATCAAGACTCTGGAAGCTTGATCTTCTTCTTCCTCACCCGCCAATCTTGCTTCAAGAATCGCTTTCTTTTCTCTCAAGCTAGAAGTCGCCAATTCTGCTTCATTCAAAGTTTTCTGTGCTCGCTCAAAAGATAGCTTACATTCCTCCTCCACTCGCACAGCAACAACCAAAGCCTTATCTACTTCGCCTAGCTCAGCCTTGATCATCCTCCTCCTGACCCGGGATTCAAGAAGAGATAACCAATCATCCAATCAACCCACCTCCAATCTGTTAATCCGACCATCTCGAAATTCGCCCAAAACAGCACGTTGGGCCAACACGTCATCAAGAGAAGCTGTCTCCGGAGATAACTTGTAAAGCTCCTTAAGGAATTCTCCAAAACCATCCAAAAAATAAGTCCGAAGATAAGAGCTACCCAAGTGCATGAAAGTGGTGGGTTTATAATGAAGAACAAAGAGTAGTCGAGGAATTAACTCTGCTTTTACCCCGGCAAACAACACAGCTGGATCCAGTAGCTTTTCCTTCCCATCGATCCCTTTAAGAACCACACTGCCACGGGGAAGATGAATAGGAGAAAAATCTCCATCAGTAGCATGAATGAGGGAATAATCTCCATCAATAGCTGGTAGTGACGGCTTTTGAAGGCTACTCCCAATATCACTGGCATCCTTTTGAATAAAGCCAAACAACTCGCGTACGAGCACACCACCCATGTCTGAACCAGCTGAAACAATAGGCGCGTTGACCCTAACTTCGGAGCTCGAAGGAATGGTGGGCACATTACTCTCTAGGCTCGCAGAGGTCGTAAAAGCATGCAAAGAAATGGGCGCAGAAGAACCAATGCCACATGACAAGCTCACGGATGTACTCGCACCTCTAACTCGTGAGCTAAACACATCGCTATGTGAAAAATTACAACCACCTTCAAACAAGCGAGCAATAGGGACACCACCTCCAATCTTGGCCCGCAAAGGAACCAATGCATCCCTAGAATTTGGTGTATCCAACAAAGAAGGCCTAGCACTAACCATGTCACATCCAATATCGTCTTCAACATCATCCCTTGCCCCCATAACCTCAAGACTCTGATCCGAACCCTCTTCATCATCCTCTGAATTTTCTACATCGTCCTCAGCACCTATGGGCAAGACTTTATGCCGCGCCAATTTTATCTGACACGCGCCAGCCGACCCCTACAAACAATACAGGTATTTTAATACAAACGTATTAGAAACGCCACAAACTCTCAAATAATTCCAAAATACAAAATATGAGTTTACCTGTGACGAATCAATGGTGTCAGTCGAGCAACCCCTCGCTTGGCGGGCAACCCTGGTTTTAGTAGGCAGATCTATACCTCTAATCTTTGGAGGTACTCTCCCAGGCACTGGAACAAGAACGGAGGAAGGAGGTGGCCTTTTACGCTTGGCACTAGAAGGTCGGTCAGGAGAAACTATCTGGGTTTGTTCCAAAGCAATAGTCACCTTAGATAAGCGAGCCAGTGGGTTGAGTTCCCCCCTATTTGCAGCTGACAAGCCCCGCTCTCCGCGAGCCATACATAACTCGGGGTCATCAGACGGAATGAGCTCAACATGGACAGGATCAAGATCACTACTCAAGAAAGCCCGAAATAATGCAAGATTGCATCTCCAATACTTCTTCCAACTAGGGGTGGTTCCGCCAATTCTACCCTTAGTTGCTAGCACAACTCGCCCCCGACACCTTAATTCTTCTGAAAGAAAAGAGTATACATATAATTGCATACAGTCGGCGGCCGAAGGTGCAGGAGAAGGAAGATGTTGAGGAACCCCTTGGTCCAAACCAAACTGTCGAGCAACCCTCAAAGGATTATAGGCCACCACACCGTATGTGCCATCCAGAAAATAAGGTAAATACCCAGAAACGGTGCTAAGAACCATCACTGAATCCGCATCCCCCAAATAAGACACACCCGGCCCGAGAACAAGCTTGCAATCATCTAGGCGGTAGGCAATGGTAGAAGATACTCCACAAACCAGGACGAGCAACAAACTTGTCCTCAAAATCAAAAATGCTGGCCAAACTCCCCTATACACATCCCTCAGCCCACCTAGCAGAACGCGACTCACTTTCTTCAATGGAAAACACCTTTGGCATAGGGGCCAAGCTAGGAAATCTCTCATACAAAAACAACTGCAGAAAGGTAGTAGGGAGGAAGCTGGTAACATCGTATCATCTTTTGGAACGATCAACACCCTCCTGATACATATCTAACCTCCTATACAGCCCCCCCAGAAATAAAGGAGGCAACGGAATCAGACGGCCGGAAGCAAGAATGGCAGCAAGAGGAAAGAGCTCATGGCAAATATCGTCTTGGGGTCTACCCATCAAGACGTACCGCGACAGCCAATATGTAATGAAAGCAGCTAAATGCTCAATACTCCCCCACTTGTCCCCTTCCACCCCTGGACCTATGAATCCGTCCTCCGCATTTCCTTGCACCTGATGGCTAAGATCTCGAAACTAGTATCGAAGCCATCCCCCGGAAGTGTTTTTTGGTCGTTTTCGTGATCGAGGTGTTACTAACACTTTATTTTGATAACGACTCAATAACTTCCCTGCCGGTGCCACGGCCTCCTCCAATCTCCCAACAATAGCCATCTGGCTAGGGGACAAACTTCCTGCGCTAGGATTCGCTGATCCAAGGTGCTCCAACCCCGGCAAGATAGCCACATCCTCTAGAGTAGGGGTCGTCTCGCCCCACTGCGCAATAAAAGTATGAGAACTTGAACTCCAACGTGACAATGCGAACTCCAGCCAAGATGACTCCCGTCTAATCCACATACACTGAGAAATAGCAGTAGCAATCTTTGCCCCAGTTAGCACCTCATAATATGAGGGATGGCGAAAGATAGCTGCACTACACACATCGAAGTCATCTTTAGGCCCCGTATAATCCTCAAAAGCCGGAAAAGAATAAGGATAAGTACCCCGCTCCACATGAAAACGTACAATAGACTCTGGAGGAACAAAAGCTTCAACCCCTTTCTCTGTCTCAACCCCACCAAGAAGAAAATCAGTTGGGCCCCCGCCATTGTCATCAAATAAGTCCACCCTCGCCCAAAACAAATCCATGGCACCAAAGAAAGGTGCCTAACACCAATATTCTGCTGGAGGGACGATTGGAGGATCCGTGTCCTTTTTGGCCTTAAAAAGATTTTTCTTGGATTTACCCACTTTTGACTTGGAAATGCCAGAAGAACCTGCTAGTGATTGTTGCGCGCTGCGACGGGACACAACACTTCTTCCTTTTACTTTAGCCATATCACAAAAGCTCGCCTTTCCTACATCAACACAAGATTTACAAATCAGAAATGTCATTCACTTTTGAGGTGCATTTAATTGGGGAAGAAAAAAAAAAAAAAAAAAAATTGAGTTAGGCCTCTATTTCTCGCTAGGCCTCTATCCCTTGCATGAAGTATACCTTCGTTCCAATTCCCCTTTCTCTTGCTTTCCACATATGTTTCTATCCCTCGCAAATTTTCCAACTATTTCCACCGAAAAAAAAAAAAAAAAAAAAAAATTGAGTTAGGCCTCTATTTCTCGCTAGGCCTCTATCCCTTGCATGAAGTATACCTTCGTTCCAATTCCCCTTTCTCTTGCTTTCCACATATGTTTCTATCCCTCGCAAATTTTCCAACTATTTCCACCGAAGAAAAAAAAAAAAAAAAAAAAAAAATTGAGTTAGGCCTCTATTCCTCGCTAGGCCTCTATCCCTCGCAGCTCCCCCCATCCCTCGCATTAATCTTTACTTCCCCTCGCACCACTTCTCCCTCGCTTCATTTTTCTTTATTTCACCAAATTGTTTTGTTAAAAAAAAAAAAACCATATTTTTAGCTAGCCCCTTTCCCTCGCACAACCAAGCCCATCCCTCGCAACTCTCCTCACCCCTCGCATGTAACCCTTCCCACCGAAGTTAAAAAAAAAAAAAAAAAAAAAAAAAAAAAAAAAAAAAGGACACCCTCCATTGGCTAAACTATCGCATCAATAAATCATAACATGATGACAATACAAACCAGTAGACAGCAACATAATTTTTATTTAGCAAAAACATTTATTCCCTATTCTTCCCTCGCTAAGGCTAACGCACTATTTTGAGAGAGCCCCTTTCCCTCGCATAACAAAACCCATATTTTAAGATAGCCCCTTTCCCTCGCATAAAAAAACCCATATTTTGGAATAGCCCCTTCCCCTCGCATAACCAAACCCATCCCTCGCAACACCCACCATCCCTCTTTTAATCTTTACTTCCCCTCGCCACTCCCCTCGCACCAATCCTCCCTCGCTTCATCTTTCTTTATTTCACGAAATTCTTTTTTGTAAAAATAAATAAATACATAAATAAAAAATTCTTGAGCCTCCCTCGCCTCATTTTCTTAAAATTCCCGAAATTGTTTTATGGGCTTCATCTTTCATAGCTCTCATTTATTTTCAGCCCTCTATTACCTCATCACTGTAAAAATAAAACAAAATAAATAGCCCCTTCATTATTTTATTTATTTATACTTCTCCAAATCCTTTTGTGGGCTTCCCTCGGTTCAACTTTTCTGTTTACGACCTATCAATAATAAAAAAATAAAACCTCATAGCTCCTCATACAATCCTAAAATTTTGCCAAGTACATGTCTCCAACTCCATAGCTCTCCAACATTTATTCTAACAATTTATTATTATTTCCTAAGCTTACACCTCTCCAATATTCCTTATTGTTAACTTTCCAACCTTTTCACTCTTTACCTAATTAACATTTTATTATAGACCTCTCCAATTCTCCAAAACACAACCTTTTTTTTTGATCTGCCTCATGCTCAAAAAAAATAAAAATAAAAAATAAAATAGTAATAATAATAATAAAAAAATATTTTTATTTTTATATTACGTGGCTCACCTTTATTTTTCAACAGCCTTCTATTTTTCTCAAAACAATACCTTATATATATATATATGAATCTATATATGAAAACATAATTCAAATCAACTATGAGCAGACCCATACCTTTACAACCTACGGCAGCAACCGCGACGAGCTCTGCGCGTATCCTCAGCTCCTCTTTCTTCCTCTTCCTGATTCGATTGCTCCTCTCAAGCTCCACCCATAGCAATAACCCTTAGAAACCCAACTTTACTGATTCCAACAGATCGAAACCTCAGCCTCTGTCGATGACTCACAGATTCTTCAATCACGAGCAAACCCACTCGCGATCGGCAAGACCCAGCCCTAGCAGCCAACCCAGAATCAGAACTCAACTTCCAACATCCCAACCGATCGCCTCACAGCACCCCTGCGGCTCACCTAACGGCGACTTCTGCGACTTGCAGCACTCTTCTTCCCTCCTTTCTCTCTCTGCCCGACTCGTTTCTCTTCCCCTTTTGCGACTTCGAGGTTCGATTCACCACCCTCAAACAAACAATACAAAAATCTAGCCCCTCACAATTCGATCCCGAAACAACAGTGTGAGAAAAGCCGTGATGCCTTCGTACCACACAGGCGCTGTCGGGTCTCACTTTGGAGCTCGTCGGCGGCAACCTTTTTCCTCCTTCGTAGCTGTCAACCTTCCTCTCCCAACTGTATTCTGGATTTTCTAGTCTTTCCCACTAAGTTGAATTCTAGGTTTTTAGAAAGAGAACAGAAAAGTCTACCCAAACACAAACTTGCCAAGCCCCTCCCTTAATGGTATAAGAAACCCAGCTACGGGTAATCAAGTCCATAACACACCCTTCTGTACAATGGGTAAAAGGAACAAACAGAGATCCTGATTCAAAAAAAAAAAACAAAAATATATATATATATATATATCTATATATCTGTATATATATAGAGTCCTTATTTCTATAAAACGGCAAGCTCACTTTTGGAATGGTTCGAACAAGTTCAAGTTATACCCAGAATATACACAAAACTTTTACGTGGCAACAATGCAATATTTAAGCAAACGAACTTCAAAAAAATCAAAAATAAATAAATAAATAAAATTAAAAAAAAAAGAAAAAAAAAAGAGTTTGTATACACGCATACTAAGGTTGTACATTCCCAAGGAAAATCCTTCAACCAATTAAAAAATTCTTTTTGCCTATTACAAACATTAAAAAAAACAGACTGCAACAACCTTAGACTCTCCAAAAAGCTATTACACGCTACCATGGCAACTCCCATCAATAGCCTTTAATGGTCTGCTCTAAAGCTATAATTCCAATTGATGAGTTGTCCTCTCCATAGATCGCTCTTTCCCAACAAAAGCTGCAAAAGTCAGTAAGTCCACCCCCCTTTTCCGATGCAACCCCGTCTTTATAAGAGCACAAATGCAGGACAACAACACAAAACAAAAAAAAAAAACCGCAAGCAAATTCATATTTCACTTGCCAAACTTCAACAACCCATTCTCTCTAAATGGCTTCCCGAAGAGGGCACCGAGATAACACCGTTTGGCGGCCGGTGAACAAGGCTCCAAACCCAAGAGGTCCAAGCTATAGAGCTTTAAGCTCCAACTCTAGAGCTTCAAGCTCCACTCCTACTCACCGCCGTCGCCCTGTGTGTGAATTCTTTCGAAAGATGCTCTCCATGCCTCCATTGCAATTCCAAGATCAGCTATTCGAATCCCCTTGGATCCAACACCCAATATCTGCTCATACAGTCGTAGAGGTGCCGGAAGAATTCCGGGGTAAAATAAGAGGATGGTACAAGGCGCTAACCATTCCAGAACTTTACACAATACCACTGTCCCATACTTGGTTTTTGCTAAACCAAGAAATCAACCTCACTCTTCAGGGATCCACCTGCCAGGCAAATCTGGTGTTAGTCCCACATTTCGAGAGGATCCGCATCAACATCCTCTCGCAAAGGCCGACAGAGAGAGATCTAGATCACCACATCTCCATCATGTCAGCACCATCGGAAAACCCAAATGAAGATTTGGGACTTGGGTGGAACATAGAGAGCTTTGCAGATCTCAACATAGGAGAAGAGAGCGTTTCCCGCAGTGCTCAGCCAAACATCCCCTACAACATTCCGCTTAACATCCTCTTCTTCAACACTGAGGGCGTCGCTCGCCCTAACTTCCTTCAACACTACATGCACCTACATTCTAGCAGACGCTTCCACCTCGTCATCATCACAAACACAAAAAAAGAAGGAAGCGAGGCCCAGTTCATGAGCCAAATCATGGGCTTTCCTAACACCAAGACCATTGCCTCCCCTCCTAGCGGCATGGAAAGGGTGAGAGGCGGAATCTGGTGCCTATGGAACGAAGCCGAAATCTCCTGTGAAGTAGTGGAAATTCCCCGGAATCAAGCCATCGCCCAACAAGCCCACATCTTTATCTGGTCGGCTCGCACTGGATGAAATTTAAAATGTAAACTCTCCATGAGCAATCCAAATGCCCCCATTATATCAAAAGCCTAATTTTAGACGACTCTATCTGAATACTTGTCTGCATGAGTTAATATTTTTCAAAACTTTTTAACATAGTCATGTACAAATACTCTCATTAGCTATAAGAGCATCTGTACAGGGGGGCATTATTGTGGGTACTTGTATCAAGCTCAATACGTGGCAAGCCCTATAGGTGCCACATCACCAAAACCCCACCTACGTGGCAGACCATTAAGGCACCACGTCTGGCATGTCGTATGTTTGATACATGGCGAGCTCAATGGGCACCATGTGCCAAGGCAACCAAAACTATATGCTTAGCCTAAGCGGGGGCATATATACAAGCCCAAATATATCTAGATATGAAGAGCCCTGCAACAGGCAGCACCATGGCCCCGCAGGGCCCATGGTCCTTCATACCTCGCTCTAAGGCCAAACAACAATACAATCATCCCCCGGCTCACTTGGACTTGGATTGATAAACAATGGCTCTCCTAAACATTGGGATAGGCCTGCGGCCCATTCTCCTACTTGATCGCTCAGAAGCAAGCCCCTCTCTTAAACATTGAGATATGCCCGCGGCCCATTCTCCTACTTGGTCACTTGGAAGCGAGCCCTTGGCTCTCTTAAACACTAAGGTAGGCCCTGGCCCATTTATCTACTTGGATGCCTGGGTTGGGAGCAGGCCCAGGCACTACTGCTCGGGATCATCAGAGGATACTGGACTGGCGGCTGAGGTCATGGGATCGTCGAGATGGTTGTCTTCTTGCTAAGACGACAACATCTCGACCAGGCTTGGAGAAGAGGCAACAATGACCTTACGTTCATGTCATCCGATGCATATACGAAACGTTATTTTCTGCATGCCATGAAACGTTGCTCTCCGCCTGCCGGCAAGCCACAGACGGTAGAAGGGCTTATATCACTTCTGGCAGAGTTAAGGAGAACGAGCCACCTGTCCAATAGTTCGCTTGGACTCCAATACTCCTGTGGCCTATATAATGTATCGTATATGCAGCGTAACAACAACAACAATACAATCGAGCCTCATGTTTAAACACCCTCTTTCACTTTACATTAGTGTTCAAGGTCTATCACTGCCGACCTCTCCCTCTCCAAGCTTGCCTTGATCTCCTCCTCTGCACCTCCGGTGATCCCAAGCCATTGAAGTGCCCGCCATCTTTCCGGACTACCTCTAACCACACTTCTCACCCACAATGCTTTGTTTGGTAGGAGAGGAAAGGGAAAGTTTTTAGAATCCTTTTTTATCCCCCTTGTTTGTTGGCTTGTAATGTGAGAAAAGAAAGAGAACAAGTAGGCAAGGGTAGTCGGTTGTTTGGAATGTTAATCTCTGACGTGATGTGCAGGATTGGGAGATGGACCAATTGGTGAATCTTCTGGGATTTCTATGCGGTGTGAAGCATGGGGGGGATGGGGTGGATTCTTTGGTGTGGGACTGTCTGAGATATAAAGTGGTTTTTTTGGTGTCTCATTTTATGGTGTGCTGGCAGAGGGGTAATGATGTTGTGTTTCCTTGGAAGAGTATTTGGGCGACAGGGTCACCATCTAAGGTAGCTTTTTCCGTTTGTATAGCTGCCTTGGGCCGTAGTTTGACTATTGATAACTTAATTCAGTGGCGGCATGTGTTGGTCAATTGGTGTTGTATGTGTTGTGGGGATGTGGAGACGATGGATCACTTGTTTATTCATTATCCGGTTGTGTCTCAGCTATGGAGTTTGATTGTTGCTTTGTTTGGTTTGGTTTGGGTGCAGTCAAGGTTTGTGATGGGTTTGTTACAAAGCTGGGGTGGGGCTAGGGTGGGAAAGAGAAGGCTTGGTTACTTGCTTCCCATTGTTTGCTTTGGTTTGGTTGGAGCGTAATAGGCAAGTTTTTTAGAATGTGTGTCATTCAGTGTTATGGTTAGAGAGTAGGCTTCTCATGGTGTTGCACAGTTGGGTTATGGGGTTCGGTTGATCCTGACTTTTTGGCTTTTGTAGATTTTGCAGAAGATTTGATTAATTAGTTTTGTTTTTGGCCTGATGTGGGCTGTTTATTTTCTTTGTATTCTTTGCATTGGCTTGATGTTTTTCTAATAAAGTTTGATTATTTATCCCCCCCCCAAAAAAAAAAAAAAAAAGAAAAAGAAAAAGAAAAAGAAAGAGAAAGAGAACAAGTAGGAAACTATTTGAATATTACTAAAAAACTTCACTCCTAAGTGTGGGGAGGTTTGGAGGGAAAAATAATTTCTGTGATAACTTGAGTATACCAAGCAAATCACAATTTATGATCACTTAAAGTCGATAAAGATGTTTATCTTTGCTACTTTTCTCTCCACTTCCTCTTCCAAGTTTTAATGAAACAAGGTAAAATAATTCATCTTTCTTCTCTTGTTCTCTCTTGTTTTACCTGCTTTCATTTTCCCTTCCCTTCCCTTCCCTTCCCTTCCCTTCCCTTGTCTCTTTGCTACCAAACATAGCCAAAAGCCTAAGCATAGTTTCATGAAGCGGGGATGGGGCATGGGGGCAGGAGCACGGCCTCTATAGAAGAGTTTAAGGTTGGGAGCAGGACCAGGAGCGGTGGCGGGAGTGTGTTTCTTGCTATAAGGCCTAAAGTCTAAGAGGATTTTCTATTCTTTTTGGGTCTCTAACTATATTTACCTTGATTTTGTGATGGGTGAGCTAGATCTCTGACTAACCGCTCCATATTTTTGTGTGGTCAACATAAATTTTTGTGGAGAGTTAGCAATGCTTAACCCACCTTTTACTGAAAATAAGAAAGTTTCTGATTGAGCCATCCATACTTTTGTGCAATTCAGATTTTTTTTGTTGTTCAAAATTAAGATATTTGTATTTGGCGTGGTGTTCTCGGGTAGACTTGCAGTTAAAGCTATGGAGGAATTATGTGGATGATGAAGTGATTCGGGAAGCCATTTTGTTGATGTGTAGAAAAAAATAAGATGATCATTTTCATATATGTCTGCCGTAACAATAATTTCAGTCTCATTCCTCAAATTTTCCACCCAAGGGCTTGCGAGAATTGTTTGGTGTGAACTGTGAAGCTCATGTTTATACAAGTCCAAGAGGTTGATTTGTCATGGGCTTTAATGTGAGGGATTTGTAGGATCACTGTCAACACCCAAGAGTGAAAAGGAATAGAATAGACTTCATTTGCACCCTAGGGTGTATTTTTAAAACAAGTTTATGGCTCATTCTGTAGATGTCCAACTATTTTGGTGGGTTTTAAGGATTTAAATTTTTTTCATTTCTCCTTATTTGGTGGAAATTTTAATGAATCTCCAGAGTAAGCATGGCAGTCTAATTGATCACAATAATACTGAAGCAATTCTATGAAGACATTCACAGAATTGGTATTACAGTCTGTAATTTAAGATTAAAAAAATATGAGGATAATTGTTTTCATGCTATAGAATCTGGTAACATGAGCATGAGGGGATGCCCAAAAAGTATGTGTTTGTTTGTATAACTCATACACTTAGTTTTTGTTACTAATACCAAGGTCATGTTTTGCAGCTGCCATACATCTTTACAAGCTTGGATGGTGTCTCACAGCTCTAATGTTTTTAAATGTAGTGAGTCTGTTTCATATTTCTTATCTTCTTCACTTATATGATTTTGCAGCTATTGGCGGAGAGTATATATCGGTAAAATCTGCAGGAAATCTTTCTACTCTGTTTGATGTTGGGGGTATTGTTGGTGGGATTTTGGCTGGCTACATATCTGATAAACTTAATGCTCGTGCTACTACTGCAGCCAGCTTCATGTATGCTGCAATCCCTGCTTTGATTCTCTATCGCACATATGGGAGTATTTCAATGACCTTTAATATTGTACTTATGATGATTGCTGGTTTGTTCGTAAATGGACCCTATGCTCTTATCACTACTGCAGTCTCTGCAGATCTCGGTACACACAGTTCTCTCAGAGGGGATGCTCGGGCACTGGCAACAGTCACTGCCATTATTGATGGTACTGGATCGGTTGGGGCAGCTTTGGGCCCTCTTCTTACTGGTTTCCTTTCTACCAAGGGATGGGATGCAGTTTTTGTGATGCTAATGATTGGTGCTCTTGTTGCTGGTCTTCTTTTGTCCCATTTGGTCATAACTGAACTTACTGAGATAAATTGCAAATGGAAATCTATACCCAGTGGGCAGCACACTCCTGGAGGTAATGTGGTGGTTATATTGTTTTTTTTCCTTAAATATGTTGTATGCATTAATTTCTTTTCTTTTTAAGTAATATAAACATGCAATACAAACATAAAAACATTCATCCTTATTTTTTTTGGCGTACACACACGTATATATGCATATCTGGGTATCTCATGAAAACAGATCCAGTTTGTTTTGTTCTCCATAGCATTGAAATGAAAATATGTTCCCTATGAGTGATGCATCTCAGAAAATCCATATTGTACAATGCCACAATAGTTTTTTTACTGCATATGAATGCTTATTATGAGTTATAACCACTTTAAAAATGAAGCTGAAAAAAAATTGTTTATATTGAAGTAATAGGTGAGTTGCATCTCAAGGTAGCTCTATTTAAAATTAAAAGAATAAAGATGAAAATCCAAAATGCTAAATTCAATGTTGGCACAATGAAGAAATAGACATGCATAGGTGGATTCTCATACTGGAGTATTCAGAAACTAGCTATCAGAAAACCCAAAAAAAATAAAAATAAATAAATAAATAAAAGAAAGAAAGAAAGAGTTTACTAGTTCATTCGGAAACTAACAATTTAGAAGGCAACTGGCCCCATAGGATATCTACTACGCAATTCTGAGAGTTTGAACTTCATTAGCATCCAAGAAAGAAGAAATTAATGATTAGTCTAATAGGGCTGTGGTAGGAATTGTTGATTGATTATATAAAAGATACATTACTTTATATGATCAATGAAGGGACAATTCCACTCCTAAGGATTGCAAATGAGCATTCCAAACCAAACCAAACCAAACCATAAGTCCCAATCAAATGGGGTTGGTTACATGAATCTTTCTTCTCCACGCGGCCTTATCAAAGGCCATTTCGTTAGTCAAATTAAGTAGATCCATATTTCTATTTACAACGCTAGCCAACGTTAATTTAGGCCTACCCCGTCTCCTAACACTCTCATCTACCGTTATAGTATCGCATTTCTTCACTACAGCCTCTATTGGTCCCCGTTAAATGTGACCAAACCATCTCAATAGATTCTCTCTCAACTTATCTTTTATCGGTGCTACTCCTACCCATTCTCAAATACGCTCATTCTTAATTTTGTCTTGTTTAGTCTTGCCACACATCCACCTGAGCATTCTCATCTCAATCACACTCATCTTATCTACATGTTGTTTCTTGGTTGCCCAACACTCCGTCCCATACAATATTACTGGTCTAATAGTCATTCTATAGAACTTATCTTTTAGTCTAGTGGATATTCGTTTATTGCACTGTACCCCAGACACACTTCTCTATTTACACCATCTCGCCTTAATCCTATGGGCTACATCCGCATCAATTTCCCCCGCTGTTGTGATAATTGACCCTAAATAATGAAAATGTTCACTCTTATGTAGTTTTTGGTTCTCAATCTTCACTTCTCCTCTGCTTTCATTGTTACTGTTACTAAATTTACATTCTATGTACTTTGTTTTAGTCCTGCTTATCCGGAATCGTTTAGATTCAAAAGTTTTTCTCTAAATCTCCAACTTTGTGTTAACTCCTTCTCTAGTCTCATCCACTAGCACAATATCATCTGCAAAAGTATACACCATGGCACGTCATCCTCAATATTTCTCGTCAACTCATCTATAACTAAAGCAAAAAGATAAGGACTTAAGGTAGATCCTTGGTGTAACCCTACAGTGATAGGAAATTCATTTGTCTCTCCAGCAAGCGATCTAATAGTGGTCACCGCCCCCTTCATACATGTCCTTAATCACATCAATGTAACCTTTTGTCACCCATTTCTTCTCTAACACCCACCATATTATATTCCGGGACACTCTATCATATGCTTTCTCAAGGTCAGTAAACATCATATGAATATCTTTTTTCTTTTCTCTATACTTTTCTATTACTCTCCTCAAAAGATAAATTGCTTCCGTTGTTGACCTGTCAGGCATAAATTCAAATTGATTGTCTGACACCTCTGTTATATCTCGTAATCGGCGTTCCATCACCCTCTCCTACACTTTTATTTTATGACACATTAGTTTGATTCTTCTATAGTTGTTGCAATTCTGGATATCTCCTTTATTCTTATAAATTGGTATTAAAATATTCTTCCTCCACTCATCTGACAAGTTCGTAGTTAGCAAAATTTTGCTAAACAACCTAGTCAACCAAGCAATCCCCTTTTTACCCAAGCACTTCCAAGCTTCAATACGGATATATCATGGGTTAAAATGAGATTCCAGTTACTTGAAACCTTTTATGTAAGCTTTGCGATGTGATTTTGGTTCCTTGCCTATTTTTGCTAGTTTTACTGCATTCTTGTGGAATTTTTATCTCCTGGATGGGGACATTTTTAGGTAGAGGAATTTTCCAAAACCTGCGTTGACCATTATTTGTCAAATTGCATGTTTGTTAAATTTCATTTTGGATGTCTCTTAGTTTCTCACTGGACTGGATCATTACATGCTGACTTGTTTTTTGGTACTTTTTTTTTAAAAAGTTTATGTGCATGTGTAATAGAATCCTTACCCACAATTTTTTGGCCACTTCTGCCAATTTATATATGTTGTAATTTTAATTTCATCTATATGAAATTGAAAATTGAATTTTTTTCATTAATGGCACAGATCCTTACCATTTGTTTATCACCTATTTGTCTTGGGCTTACCAGAAAAGTTTATTGATTGCAGCTACTGCGTCTAAACCCCTTCTAAGTGATCAAAGGTGATATCAGGAATGGCCTCGTGAAGTATCATGGTGTTCAGAAAATCAAGAACAAATTGGTAAGCAGTCTTCAAAATAATTGTCTGATAAAGCAAATACAATAATTTGCATTTGTGAAGTTTGATAACCTCATCTACTGCTTCTAGTGAAAACAAATTGTTCTTCTGTAGTGTAATATGTAAGCTGATAATGTGTAAATTATTTTGGTTCCCTGGAGTTTTGATAGTTATTTTACCGTATCACAATAAAATAAGAAATTGTACCTTCTCTTGACAACCAATATGAGTTGTGCTGATAAAAACTGTTTGCTTTTATTCTGTAATACACAAAAGATCAACAGTATACACACAGGAAAATCTCTTATGGGGCATCTTTTTCTTGGATGTTGGGGTGGTCCTTTTTTTATCCCAAGTATCAAATAGTTGGTTTGCTAGAACTTATTCCCAAGTAGTTGGTAGCTTAAAAAAACCATTCTAAACTCTTGTAAACTACTAGTTTTTTGAGCTTATTTTGAATTAAAAAAAAAAGCTGAGAATCTAGAAAAATTTACCAACCTAAAATATTCCCAAGTACAGCAGCCGACAACAAATATGTTCTACTCCAAATAAGAAGAAAATGACAACCAAAAAAAAAAGAAAAAGTGATTATTTATTTGTCTGTTTTGTATCCTTTTCATCATTGTTACACAGGACTTGAGAAGATCACTGAAGAATCTTTACCACAATCCGTCCATCAATTCAAGATCCAATTTTAACCTCTCCTTTCTTTTTTTTTTTCTTTTTTTTTTTAAAATGTTTTGTTCCCCCTCCTTTTTAAAAAAAATGTTTTGTTCCCCCTTTTTACTAAGGAGTAGAGGCACTGGAAACCCATAAGAAAGAAACACAATAATGTAGGAGTTGATATAGGAGGATTGAATAGATTTGATCAACCATCTTTGGTATTTCAATGAATAAAATTTACTGGCTTAGCTAATTAGGTACTTTTAGCAAGGTGAAAAATGGGTCTAATTGTCTAATATTTATAATGATTGTTTGAACTCAGAACATTGTCCTTATTGTGATTTTTCTATGCCTATTTGCAAATCCGTGAACCATCATGTGTGAGTCACATCCTATTAGCTGCTGCTAGGTAGATTATAAAATATAAACTGAGTTAAAAATTTTAAAAAAAGAACGGCATGTGAACAAGATGTTAGCTTCCAAAACATGGATCACATCATCAGTGAAAAAACTAATCAAACATGTATGTCCCTTGCGAAAGCTCCAAAGTCGACATTTCATCAAATCTCCATTATTAGGTCTTCGTCTGTAGTGTATCCCTCTTTTTCAACTCATAACTGACTTCTCTAATCATTTCTACAGTTATATTAGTACAGAAACAATATGAACCTTTAGCACCAGTTGTAAAATTGTCTAGGTAGAAAACTAGCTCTGTTTGGAACGATTTCCAAACGAATTTTTCACTCCTACATTTGAATATAATGTTTGGATAGATATATGGAATTAATCTTTCACAACTTTGCAGAAAACTCTGTTTGAGAGCTCGATATTCATTTTTTTTTTTTTAAAATTTGGCGCAACCAGTCGTCCCACCGGACGTCTCACTTGTTGACCGGCCGGTTGACTGGAACGGTGCAAATTTTTTTATTTATTTTTTTGCAATTGATATGTTAATTTTTATATATTCGAAAAAAATATTTTCCGAAATTTTTAAATTTTTTTTATGTGTTTTAATGAAATTTTGAATTGTGTGCTTGGTTTTGAATTGTATGCTTGGTTATGAATTATAAGTTTTTGTATCAAATATCAAATGTTACATCAAAAATTTCCTACTCAATTCAAAACTCTTTCATCAAACAAAATTTTCACACTTAAATCATAATTTCAAAACTCACAAATTCAAAATACAAATCATAGTTAATCATAGTTAGAAGGGCAAATTACACTAACAGTCCCTATAGTTTGGGGCTTGTGTCACTTTAATCTATGACTTTTCAATTGTGACACATTTGACTCTGAATTTTGAATCTTGTTCCAAATAAGGACAATTAAACATACCATTGCTTAATTTCAAGGGCAAAATCATCAATTTGATAAAATATAAACTAATATGACAAAAATAAATGTTAAAAAAATATTTTTAAATTTTTAAAAATTATTTCTACCAACCAAAAATAAAATTATGTAAAATTGATAAAAATTACATGATTAATTTTTAAAAATTAATTTTATATGATCATCATCTAAATACATAATAAAAATTAATTTGGTAAAAAAAAAAATATTTAAAAGATTTATCAATTTTATATAATTTTACCTTTGGTAAGTAGAAATAATTTTGAAAAATTCAAAAATAATTTTTTGACATTTATTTTTGTCAAATTAATTTATATTTGGTCAAATTGACGATTTTGTCTTTGAAAAATCCAATAGTATGTTCAATTGTCCTTATTTGAAACAAGATTCAAAATTTAAGCTCAAATGTATTACAATTAAAAAGTCAGGAACCAAAATGATACAAGTCCTAAATGATAAAGACCGTTAGTATAATTCACCTTAATTAAAAAATTCTACCAAACTTAATCTAAAGCCTTTTATTGATTTATGGTTAAGAAAAAAAAATATCTGTAGTGTGTTCGGCTGGGACTAGGTATTGCTATGGTACGCTCACCACACTGCCCAATCCAACTTAATAGGTTGCTCGATTCCGGTTTGAAAATCACCAGTCACTACTAAAAGGTTGTGTGTTTTGCGTTGACAAGTTGTCATTGCAAAAAAATATTTCTTGTCGCAAAAATCATATATAATTTGTAATATATAAGACCCATGAAATAGATAGATCGATGAATACTATAAATTTGATAGTGTTAGGGTTAAGGCATTATTACCGTGCTTTCATTTTCTTATACCTGTCACTGCCCCACCCCCCCAAAAGGAGCTAAGGTTGCCACAAACAAGGATGTCCTAGGTGGACTCTTGCGAATAAATTATTTTAATAATTTTTAAAATTTTTATAAAAATATATGAAGAAAAGTAAAATAAATAATGTGACAACTTATAGTGTTTTTTTAATTTTTTAATTAAAATATATAGTTTGACCTAAAAATTATTATTGAATATTCATGTTTGAAGATTTTTTTTTATAATACCATTAATAACCTTAAGTCAAATCATATCATATCATATATATTATTAAAAATAATATTTTTTTTATACTTAAGTGACATATTATAAATTAAGGTTTTTTTTTATTTTTTATTTTTTTTTTATTTAAGAGAAGAAAGATCACACACAGGAAAATCTCTTATGGGGCATCTTTTTCTTGGATGTTGGGGTGGTCCTTTTTTTATCCCAAGTATCAAATAGTTGGTTTGCTAGAACTTATTCCCAAGTAGTTGGTAGCTTAAAAAAACCATTCTAAACTCTTGTAAACTACTAGTTTTTTGAGCTTATTTTGAATTAAAAAAAAAAGCTGAGAATCTAGAAAAATTTACCAACCTAAAATATTCCCAAGTACAGCAGCCCACAACAAGTATGTTCTACTCCAAATAAGAAGAAAATGACAACCAAAAAAAAAAAAAGAAAAAAAGAAAAAAAGTAATTATTTATTTGTCTGTTTTGTATCCTTTTTATCATTGTTACACAGGACTTGAGAAGATCACTGAAGAATCTTTACCACAATCCGTCCATCAATTCAAGATCCAATTTTAACCTCTCCTTTCTTTTTTTTTTTCTTTTTTTTTTTAAAATGTTTTGTTCCCCCTCCTTTTTAAAAAAAATGTTTTGTTCCCCCTTTTTACTAAGGAGTAGAGGCACTGGAAACCCATAAGAAAGAAACACAATAATGTAGGAGTTGATATAGGAGGATTGAATAGATTTGATCAACCATCTTTGGTATTTCAATGAATAAAATTTACTGGCTTAGCTAATTAGGTACTTTTAGCAAGGTGAAAAATGGGTCTAATTGTCTAATATTTATAATGATTGTTTGAACTCAGAACATTGTCCTTATTGTGATTTTTCTATGCCTATTTGCAAATCCGTGAACCATCATGTGTGAGTCACATCCTATTAGCTGCTGCTAGGTAGATTATAAAATATAAACTGAGTTAAAAATTTTAAAAAAAGAACGGCATGTGAACAAGATGTTAGCTTCCAAAACATGAATCACATCATTAGTGAAAAAACTAATCAAACATGTATGTCCCTTGCGAAAGCTCCAAAGTCGACATTTCATCGAATCTCCATTATTAGGTCTTCGTCTGTAGTGTATCCCTCTTTTTCAACTCATAACTGACTTCTCTAATCATTTCTACAGTTATATTAGTACAGAAACAATATGAACCTTTAGCACCAGTTGTAAAATTGTCTAGGTAGAAAACTAGCTCTGTTTGGAACGATTTTCAAACGAGTTTTTTACTCCCACATTTGAATATGATGTTTGGATAGATATATGGAATTAATCTTTTACAATTCTGCAGAAAACTCTGTTTGATGGCGCGATTTTCAATTTTTTTTTTTTTTTGAAATTTGGTGCAATCGGTCGTCCCATCGAACGTCTCACTTGTCGACCGGCCGGTTGACTCACCTGTCGACCGGCCGGTTGACTGGAACAGTGCAAATTTTTTTATTTATTTTTTTGCAATTGATATGTTAATTTTTATATATTCAAAAAAAATATTTTCTGAAATTTTTAAATTTTTTTATGTGTTTTAATGAAATTTTGAATTGTATGCTTGGTTTTGAATTGTATGCTTGGTTATGAATTATAAGTTTTTGTATCAAATATCAAATGTCACATCAAAAATTTCTTACTCAATTCAAAACTCTTTCACCAAACAAAATTTTCACACTTAAATCATAATTTCAAAACTCACAAACTCAAAATACAAATCATAGTTAGAAGGGCAAATTACACTAACAGTCCCTATAGTTTGGGGCTTATGTCACTTTAGTCCCTGACTTTTCAATTGTGACACATTTGACCCTGAATTTTGAATCTTGTTCTAAATAAGGACAATTAAACATACTATTGCTTAATTTCAAGGGCATAATCGCCAATTTGATAAAATATAAACTAATTTGACAAAAATAAATGTTAAAAAAATATTTTAAAATTTTTAAAAATTATTTCTACCAACCAAAAAAAAAATTATGTAAAATTGATAAAAATTACATGATTAATTTTTAAAAATTAATTTTATATGATCATCATCTAAATATATAATAAAAATTAATTTGGTAAAAAAAAAATAAATGTCTAAAAGATTTATCAATTTTATATAATTTTATCTTTAGTAAG